CTATTTATAGCCCCATGGGCTAAAATAGCCTTTACCCCTTCACTAGGTGTTTTTCAGGACGACCGGACGCGCCAGTCGTATCGATCGAATGCACCCTGCCAGTGTCCGGTCAATGGATGGTTGCCATGTCATCCCTGGCTTCAAATGCTGAGCGCCTAATCTCAACGGTTAAGTTACAACCGGACGCACTGCTAGGATAACCGGATGCTGCTACGCCTGAGTCCGGTCATTTCTAGAGAGCTCCCGAGCGTCTGTTTTGCGACCGGACGCGTTCGGTCCACCATGACCAGACACAGACCAGCGTTCGATTAGCTCTACGCCAGTGTGACAACTTCAGCGCCGCCTACATCACCGTATGTCACCCTGACCGGACGTGGATATTGTGCGTCCGATTACTTCTTCGCCCAGCGTCCGATCGAAGGCCGACGCCTGTGTGCTCTCTGCTGCCACTGACCGGACGCGCCGGTCCAGCCGAGGCCAACATCTGGTCACTTGATCGAGACCACACCTTCTTAGGAACACAAGATCAGATTCACCAGCCAGCGTCTGGTCGCTGCGCTGCGCAGAGTCCGGTCACTTCCAGTGACCTATTTCTCCTCCTTTTTTCACCGAGTTGATCCACATCAACTCTAACTTCTTCTCCTTTATAAATGTGCCAACACGACCAAGTGTACGCCACCATGTGTATGTGTGTTAGCTTTTCTCAAACATTTTTCAAAGGATTAGCCACTCAACTTGCCACGCTACTCGATCCTAGCGATGATGCAAAGTTAGATCACTCGAGTGGCACTTGATGACCGATATGCAAACAAGTTTGCCCCTCTTGATAGTACGGCCATCTATCCTAAACCCGGTTATCAACTTCTCTACACACCTATGACCAGTGAAATGAAATGCCCTAGGTTATACCTTTGCATTGCGCATTCCATTACATCTCCTCCAATGTTGATTCAACACATGCACCAACACGATCAACAATGATATGATCCACTTCATATCATGACATGATCATATTGGTTCATCGATCTTGACTTCACTTGCTTTTCACCGTTGCCTTCGTTCATCGGTACCAAGTCTTGCTCAAGCTTAACCACCACACGGTCCATCGCTCCAAAGCCTCCAACTTGCCCTTCACGCTTGCAACCGGTCCATCAAGCCAAGTCATATCTTGATCTTCTTTACCTTGATCACATGACTCAATGTCATGTCTCATGTGCAATGAGCTCCTTCATCATCACATGTGTGAGCTTCGGAACATCTCCGAGCCATTTCCACCTTCATGGCATGTGTTGTTCATACACATGTACCTGTGGACTAATCACCTGTGCATCTCACATAAACACAATTAGTCCACCTAGGTTGTCACTCAATTACCAAAACCACACAAGGACCTTTCACCCGCTAGCGGCCACTACCTGGACGCACGAGCACCGCGGGCATCTTGGCCCACGTTCGAGTCTCGGTCGGATATGATCCATTGTTTTTCCTCGAAGAAAGGCAGAGAGCCCTCGGGACTGGTCGAACAGACCTGAGAACTATATGGATTGACCGCTGAGAATCTAGAGTCGGTCACCAGCTGACCCAAGTGGGACCCCGCGAATGGGATGCCAGGGCCTCACTCGAACTAGCCCGTTAACAGCTCATCGAGCTCCACAATTTGTCCATAGAAGGAAATCATTGCACGGCTTAGCCCCTCCTTTTTTGTCGAAAAAACGCTTGAGGGAAGACGATCACAAAGATGAGCTGACCCTCGACTGGACCCCTACTACGAGCGGGTGCTCGAGGAAAGTTGGACTCAGTAAGGAGACCGAACGCGCGGTCGTAGAACGATAGACCCCCGTATGGGTTGGACTCAGGAAAGACCTTTTTCGACCCACAAGATCTCATGGCTATACCTCCGAGGGGTTTGATCACGATGAGAGGAAATCGCCGTCCCCAGGACACGCCGTGGGCAACAAAAAAAGGCCAAGGCCCTCAGAGTCCAATCGTTCGGAAAAGCCTCTGAAGGAGTATTCTACTCCTCTGCAGGCTCGGGGGCTACTGTCGGGGACTAATACTAGGGTACCTGAAAAAGAGGAGCTAATGGTAATCAACATTGATTCATCCAAGCAGTCAAGAGCGTGACTATAGCTCCAACCGACCCCCTTGGGTGTGGGCTCTGCCTCACCCGACCCCAAGGCCACGATCTCCGCCTCGCCCGACCTCGAGGCCATGATCTTTGTCTCTCCCGACCTCTAGGGGCGGGCTCCACCTCGCCCAACCTCGAGGCCGCAATCTCCGCCTCGCTCGACCCTTGGGTTTGGTCTTCGTCTCACCCGATGGGGACCCATACCATCGCCAAACCACTCCAGGTCCAAGCGTATGGGCCTGGGTCAAAACTCTAACGTTATGGAAGAGACCGGCATGCCCTGATGTAACCCGTGGCCATGATGGGCCATACCCGAGGGTGCACATCAAGAACAGTGTCGGGCGTACCGGTGTTGTTCTGCCTAACCATTGTATGAACGCTGACAGGCACGTCAGTTCACCACGACGTCCACCGGGACAAAATGGACCACCATGACCGGCAGTTGATGCCTACCCATGGCACCAGTGATGAATAGGGCCGTGACTTGGAGCCATCCCGGTTGACATCTACAGGATCGATGGGACCCGCATGAAGAAGAAGAAGAAGGACCCAGCGATCCTGAAGGCCTTCTTCTCTCTCTCGTTCTTCTCTTTTCCTCCGCTGTAACCCGCGCTTTTCCTTGGCCTATAAAAGGGAAAGCAGGGCGTCCCATGAGGGGAATCCGATTCAAGACGGATCGATCGACCCATAAAAAACCGATCAGATCCAGATCCGCACAAAAGCACGACACGAACACATGGCTGAGCAGCGCTCAAGCTCTCAACACCCGTTCACTCCTTTCCACCAAAGACTTGTGATCCTTTCCCTCTCTCGCCCACTTGTAACCCCTACTATAAACTTTCAGTGCTAATAACACGAGCAGCAGCGATGAACTAGACGTAGGGACTTTCTGCTCGAACCAGTATAAACCTCATGTCCTCTAAGCACACCATCCTAGCTAGACGCGCAATACTAGAATTTTGATTGTCGGTGGTAATTTGAAACACCGACAAGTGGTGGGGAATGCGTATGGAGTATGATACTCGCGGCGGTTTGGTGGGTTGAGCCTCAAAACCACTGGGTGACGGTTTTGCGGGTTTGGCCTCAAAACCCAAACGGAGGTTTCGAGGAGGAATGGACGACAGGTGGCGGCATCGAGGAGTTCGTGTCGAGGCGAAGCTATCTCATGAAAGACGCGGTGGTCGTCGGATGAAGACTATCTCGGGTTAGACCATAACATTTCTGGGTTAAATGGTTCGACTCAAAAATATTCAGGAGCAAAATTGGAAATTGTGTAATAGCCCTGTTAACTAGGACGAGGGTGCCCCAATTACCCTTACCTCTTCCATTTCATTTTCTCGTTACCCTATGTTTCCCCTCCCTTTAGTGTTCTTGAGAGAGGTCTACAGATTATTCACTCCTGACCAACTTGCCATGATGGAACGAAGACTCTCCTTGCTCTCCTTTGGAATCTGTGGCTCAACTCTGATTCTCTGTGAAAACAAGGAAGCAGGCACTATGGATCTCTGTCAAGAGCTGGTAAGACTAGAGCATGTTAATCAAAAAGTGCAATAGATAGCTGCGTCATTTTGTCTTGAGAATCTACTTTAATCTGGCCCGTTGGAGTTGAGCTTGTCAGATTCCACCTCCAGCTGCTATTGCATTAGCTGTTGCAAGTAATCTATCCGCCTCCATTTCACTTTCGTCTATTTTTTCCTTTTTTTGTGCGAACCAGCTGTGCTAAAAAAGGCATGCCAAATCCAGCGGTCATAGGAGGCAACAACTTCGAGTATGATAGTGGGTACCTTATAGTCTCAACGGGTAAATTGTCCCTTCCATGCAACTGGGCAATTTCCCCATCACCAATGCATGGAATCTAGACTTCCCAACATCCCTGGAAACCCTCGTGCCTCTCCAACTTGAAGTAACTGTTGGATATCCTCACCATTAGGTCTTGTAAGATATTTCTCCCCATATATGTGTCTAATACCTTGAACAAACTTGATTACACACTCTAAAGCTGTGGTATCAGCAATTCCAAATGCTTCATCCATAAGGTCTGCTGGTGATCCATATGCTAACATTCGAAGGGCAGCCGTGCATTTCTGCAGCGGTGAACCTCCTTAATTGAAAATACGGGGACCAATTTTCTAATGCTTCCAAATTTTTCAAAAATATGTGCTTTCTCATCCCAAATTTGCATGTACTTTCCTATCTTTTCCATTCTAACCTTTTCCTTTGATGCTTCTGCTATTTTCTTTAGTGCACTTGCTCTCTTCAACATAGCATCGTGAAACAAAACCATGTCTTCATCTGGCTGCGAGCCTAGGGGAGGTTGTGGTATGGCCTTTCCTTTTTCTCTCATCCTAGCTTTTGCTTTCTTCTGCCCCTCTGGGCATACTTCTTTGAATGTCTCTCCTTGTCTGTGTCTTGGTTGGAAGATGAAGTGTATGCTCCAGATTCATCTAGTTTTGTCCTTTTGTTCTTCTCTGAACACTCCATACTAGGTATACTCAATGTTTTCCTAAACGCTAATCGGTAAACAGTCGGTCACCTACCGCTTAGCCATTATTCGGGCAAAACGTCTCATTAAAACGGCTAAACGACCAATTAAACGGGGTAAACGGGTAATTAAACGGAAACGGCGCACCACCGTGTATCGTTTACATGGTGTTTAAACAGGCTAAACGGCCGTTTAGGCGAATTGTGGGTATACTTCTATACCATTTGGGTTCCTTCCTCAGAATCTTCCCAGACATATTCAAGCGTAAATGGCTTTTTCTTGTTTTGTCTTTTGAATGGAGCACGTGCTTTGTCCATCAGCATGTCATCAGATTCCTCACAACAAAATATCATTCGACCATAGATCCCATTGAACTTGGTAACAACTGCATTAATTCTTCCCTAATGGCTTTTGAGCTATCCCTTTTGACCTTCTTCCTGCACCTTCAGCTAGGCCCGAATTGAACGCTTCTGCTATCTTGTTATAGTAGGCCTCTTTGCTCTGATCTGTGCCACGAATTGGATCTACTGAATGCTTAATCGAAAGACTTACAAGGCATAGGTTCTTGTCCTCAGTGTAATTAATTCTCACAGCCCTCCTTTCTTCATTAGGGCTGCTGGCACTTGAATCTTCCTTTTCTTCATCTAGCTCCAGCTCTCTTATTTGCGATTGCGGGGTTGCTGAATCTAAGCCATGCGAAGATGCACCACCACCAGCACCTACAAACATTCCACTTGGGAAGCTAAAGTTGGGTAGTGGTTGAAAACCTTGATAACTTGGTGAACGCTGGGCATACTGTTGGAGGTTGCCTACACCACCAAAGGGATTCAAGTTGTGCATGGCATGAGTAGGTTGACTATGTTGGGGATAATGGGAGTGGTTGAATGGTGGTGGTGGGGTGGGGAACTGAGTCTGGTTGAAAGTGTTGGGTGCGAAATTTGGCATGTGTTGGAAGCATGTGTTATCTGCTCTTGGATTTCTGGGATCAGTGGCAAGCAACCTACCAAAACTTCCCTCTAAGGGCTCCGTGTGAACTAAGAAATATGAGTATTGAGTTGTTTTGATTTTGCTTCTCTATTTTTGTGTAGGCGGTTGGGAACAAGGAGGCAGGGAAGATTGATGGGAGCAAAGGAGGAGGCCGCTGGGAACGAGGAGGCAGGGGGGATTGTTGGGAGGAAGGAAGCAGGCTGCTGGGGCTGGGGCTCCTTTTGAAGAAGTGTTGTGCTGTAGCAAGCAACAAGGAACACTATTTTTTTAAGGCAATGGTCAAGTGACGCTGCATTTCACTTGATGCTGCATTTCACTTGACCGTCGAAATCTGAATGCTCATCAGCTCATGGCAGTTGGAACCGTTGGAGCTATGTCATGTGTCAGAGTGATATATTTTTTATTGCAAAGGGGGCGGGTTCTATATCTTGGACCTGCTCCTCCATCGAAACCACCCCACAGTGGGATGTACCGGGTCCTATACATGCATTAAATGCATAGAATCGGCTTCGAGACACACACTGCTGATGCTCTAAGCTGGCATGTTTTGTTGGATTCCATTCCATTCCTTGTGTACATACACACGTAGGGCGTGCGCGAAGTTTGCGCCGAGCCCCTCCCCATGATGGAACTCCTGTCCAGAGATGAGTCGGGGCCCGCAGGGGGCATGGGTGTGGATCCTATGCTGCTGGAGGTGCTTATTCAGCCGCCTGCGCCAACATCGGAGTTCCTGGGTAGCGTCGAGCAGATTATGGGCCCTGCAACACAACAATACACCCTATCTGCTATTGGGCCCAGTAGGGGGTTCAATGGATCCAACCTTGATTTGGATTTTCCTTCGGGCGGACCGGACTGTGCTTTAAGGTCCAACTCACACACTTTGACATCTACGCAGTCCAACCAGGTGTGTTTGGATTAAGGATGAAAACGGAAAGGAAATATCCCGAACCGAACCGTATCGTTTTCTATATTTGACCCGAACGAATTCGTATTTTCGGACAAAATACGAAATACTAAATTCGAATTCAAAATACAAAATACTAAATTCGAAATCGGATCAAATTCGGTTTAGGCTTTGTTTAATCGATTTCTAGTTTTCTACATTTTATTTGGAGCGTTCCGTATTCTAAATTTGGTTGAACCGAATTTGGTCACGCCGCCTTCCTCCGCTGCTCCGGGCAAATCGAGAGCGCTCGGCTGGGTGGGGCCACGCGAGCTCCGGCAGTCCGGCAGGAGCTGTCGCCGTCGGCATCCTAGCTAGTCACGCTGCTCCTCAGGTCCCACCGCCGCCGCGGACGCTGTCCCCGCCGCCGTCCCAGCCGCGGCCGCTGTCCCCGACCAGTCTCGTCCGTTGCCGTTGCCGTCGATGCAGCGGCGGCAGATCTCGCACGGTCGCACGCGGGCTGAGGCAGTACCGGCAGATTTCGCGCGCAGGCGGAGGACAGGCGTGTGGATCTCGTGCCCTCCTCGGTCTGCTGAATTTTGTTTGTTGGTACCTTTGCTTCCTCTTGGTTCCAGTAGGTTCGTTGATCCCTGTTCTCTTCTATTTCCCGTGGCAGCCCCTCGTCGAGGAAATCTTCCCGTTCCGTGTGGCCGTTCCTGTTTTTTTTTTCTGTGCTCATTATGTTACCTGCCTACTAGCTCGTCTGGTGCTTCAGCTAGTAATTTTGGAAGTTAAGATACATGCTTCTTTGGTAAAGTGTGAGACTAATACTTTATGTAGAGGTTTGGGCTTATCTTGCTTGGATCAGTCAATACAGTTTAAACATGAAAGAGTCCACATTAAATATTTTGCTGCAGAATTACTTTCTTATAATGGAAAAATTGAATTTAGAAACTTCATATGTTGTAATGGAAAAATTGAATTTAGGACAATGCATTGACAATTTATGGTTGCTTGAAGAAATTTTATGATCTCACTGAAATTCTCTCTGGCACTTCATATCCTACTGCAAACTTATTCTATAGAGGTTTCTGTGATATAAAAGTCTTGCTTAATGACTGGTGCTTTAGTGAAGATGCTACAATTAGAGAAATGGCAGTTGCTATGAGTGCAAAATTTGAGAAATATTGGGAGCAGTCCAACATTGCTCTAGCTGTAGCATGTTTTCTTAAATTTTTGTATACCGACCGTGTTCGACATAATTCCGCTCGAATTGGTTCATTTCCGAAATTCTAGATATTCCGTAAGTTCGTGTTCGTTTTCGTGTCCGGCTTGTCCGCTTTCGCTTTCGCTTTCGTATTTCAAATGTAAAAGTAGAAAACGGTTGAGGAGTTTTTTCAACCGAGTTCGACCGTTTCCATCCTTAGTTTGGATGGGCCACTAGGAGGGCAGTCTCTCGTTAACTGTGGCTGTTGTTAATCCGTTACACTATTTGGCCGTAACTGAAGAACCATGCATAAAGATAATTGAAAAAATAAAGTGCGTACTAAGCGGTACTGCATAAAGTAGTACGACTGCACACTGCCTTGTTAGCCAAAAGTAATAAGTACTAGTTACCTGAATATCTACGTGATTTATCTCTGATATGGCCGTGCAGCAATTAATCTTCATCTTCAGCAATTGTACTCCCTCCGTTCCAGAAAAAAGACCGTTGTTTTAGGAATGAATGTAGACAGATGCTTGTTTAGGTTCATTTTTAAAACAACGGTCCTTTTGGGACTGAGGGAGTAGTCGATAGTGGGCGACATGATATGGCTCATCTTGTTGTACTGAGATGAGCTGCTGCGTATTAACAAGGACTCATACAAAAAATCCACTCAGTGTAGTTGTCATCCAAGTATCTGTTTGCTTTACACGAATGGGCTGGGAAGAACAAGCACTGGTAGAGAACCGAGCTTTACTCCCGGTGGGGAACCCCCTCTAGTCCCGGTTCCCTACCCGGGAGCAAGCATCCGGGACTAAAGGGGGGTCCTTTAGTCCCGGGTCAGGAACCGGGACTAAAGGAGGACCTTTAGTCCTGGTGGGTAACACCAACCAGGACTAAAGGTGCCTCCTGACATGCCACGATGGCCGGCACCTTTAGTCCCGGTTGGTAATACGAACCGGGACTAAAGGTTTTTTTTCTTTTTTCTTTTCTTTTCATTTTTTTGTTTTCTTTTCAAAATAGGTTTTCGAAGTCTTATTGTATGCTGCTAATTATACATTTATACGCGCATATAGTATGTTTCGGTTCAAGCACAATGAACATATTAAATCACACAATTCAAGCATAGAAATATATATATATATATATATATATATGTGTGTGTGTGTATTTTACATTATATTATTTCATGTGCATATATTACAAAAGATTGCATTATAATTGTTGTGACATAACAAGTTTCCTCTCATCCTCTAGCTTGGCTTCAATGGCAGTGTTGGGTCGAAGTAGAACTCGCCCTTGGAATCGATGACCTGCTCATTAAAAAATCCGGCTATAGACTCTTGAATTGCTTTGATTTGGTCTTGCCGTATGACCTTTTCCTCCAACCATCGAGTCTACAAGTTTGAATTAAAGGAAAATAAATTAATATATGTACATATATATATAAAGACATAGTAACACAATCAATAATAATAATTAAATGAATATATAGTGTATTTTTAACGTACTTTGAATCTCTCTGTAGGAGTTCTTTGGGAGAGCACCTTGATAAACTTGCAAACATAGTAACCACAGTAGTTGTTCCCCTGTTCCTGCCTCAGACACCACTTTACGAGAAAAAGATTTGTCATCCAATCTGGTGATCCGGTGAAAGCTATATGTTTAATAAATAAAGATGATGCGATTCAGGGGACTTACTTTCAAAGGGATTACATTCAGTGGCGCTTTGCATTTTTCCATGTGTTGCTTCTCAATAAAGGTTTTCCAAACACTGCCCAATAAAAAATTTGCCACGTCATCAGATATAGTAAATCATCATGTTTGTGTGTATATATAGTTGCTAGAGATCCCGAAATTACCTCTGGATAATATCTATCATATCTTGGTAGTCTTGTTGTGGTTTCTCATCGAGTCATAGATTATCAAGTGACTTTTCACGGATCGATGTCCATCAATATCCAAATGATTCTTGCATGTGTTTATAGGATATAACGCATAACACTCATTAATTAACTAGAATCAACATATGAGCCATTAAGGATATGATCGACATGATTAACACTCACTTGAAGTTATAGGAAAGAGTATATCCTTCCGTGGCGTTGGTTCACTAAGAAGTTCATGAGGTTACTCTCGACTCGGACTTCCAATTAGTCTTTGGAGTAATTGGGTCTTTGAATACTATATGGGGATCAACAAAACCAATTTCATTGCAGCCTTCCTTTCTCGAAAGCTCTGTCATTGTAAATCTGCATATATATAGTACTTGTTAGGATAATTTATATGCATATACACACATATGATGAGTTTAATAATAGATCGAAAGAATTATTACTACGGTGCAATAGCGCTAATGATAACTTTGTCCAGAGAGGTCGGTGGCATAGTTGATGAAATTCTCGCAAAGTCAACATACATAACATCATCGCCACGGAACCAATGTTCGTCTCTAATTCGACACCAACGTTAGAAGTCTCCATTGGTAGACGCCTACATGTACCACTTGTTTAAAGGGTACATTTGCGTCCCCAGATCGAGATAAAGGCTTGAGGTTGTATAGACTCGGCCTAGTACAAATTTTTCTTCCAAATATCAACCTCCGCCAAGACTCTCAATGTTTCCATCACTAAACATCTGGTAAAGGTCGAGACCGGTCTCATCAAGAAATTCACCAAGGTGATCCAAATCGACATCCGGAGGTATGTTTGCTCGATGCATTAATCCTAAATTGAACCATATTCATTACCAACAACTAAGCGGGGATTGATTGGTGCGCTTGTTGTCCGAGTTGGGCAACTCCTTTCCCCGCCCGCTTCTTTTTTCTGTGCCACCTCAATTGACTTGGTGAGAGTGCGGTCATAGTCGATA